TGATAGAGGAACAATTTACGATGATCCTGCGGTGAATTCTGAGTATGGGCCGTGACGGCTGATTTTTTAAGGCGGGAGTATTTGCCAATTTTCCTATGAAATTAACAAGAGGAAGCAAGATTAGAGGGTTTAACCCGAAGCTATTGAAGAAGCTCATTTGCGAGTGAAACACAGGGTTCAATGGTATTTTTTGGGGGAATTCTGGGGGGGGCCAGGCTTTTATATTTTTTGTGCGGTCGAGACTGGAAAAAAATGTGGGCAGAGAGCGACGTCTAGCTTTTTATGAGAAATCTATTTTGAAGAAAAATACATAAAAAGGGCTCAATTTCTATTATTTATGGAGGGTAAATCAGGTCTTGAGTGTCTATACTTTTTTAATCTTTTTTTTCCGGTTTAAAAGAACCATTTGGTGAAAAAATAAGAGAAAACGAGTCTGCCATTGAGGAAGGAGAGGAACAGGCCGGGAAGCAGGATGTGCTTGACGAGAAGCCTCTGTACTTTGAGAAATTAATCGCTGATTTGGACGATTTTTCTGAGGAGGAGCCCAAACAGGGTTTGAGCGACGAATCAGGCGATTTATTCGAAGAAGACACAAGCGAGGGCGAAAGAGAAGAGGAGAAGGTCCCAGACAGGTTTTCGGCAATGTGTTGTGTACGCAGGAATTAATGGGATCAGTAAAATTGAAGAGCAAGAGTTGGATGAAAAGAGAGGGGAGGAGCAAGAAGGGCTCGAGGATTTGGAGTATCAGGAGACAAAGCGTGTCTTGGAAAGCACGCTTGCAAACTATGCAGCGCCAGAATCTTCAGATGGAGAGGTTTTTATTCATAAATTTGTGAGTTTGTTGTAATAGGTTAGTTGTATTATATTAAAATGCCGAATTTTTTAACGGTGGCTGAAAAACCATTTGATCCAAGATCATATCTAGAAGAGGCCCGCTCGGAATATGAGGAAATGGTGGCCAATTCGTATGACAATTATCAAAGGGTTCGATCAAGGATTGAGAATACAATTCGATGGAGATACATTAAAAACAGTGATGGAACCTATGTAAAGTGAGATTTTTATCCTTTGCGTTTATTTATCTATGTATAGACAAAAGAATCTAATGCACGTTTTTTAAAGTGGTCAGATGGATCATTATCTTTGCTTTTGGGGTCAGAATTGTTTTCTGTCGTAGTAAAGAACACCATTTCAGACTATATGTATCTGAGTATTTCCCATGAAACGCAGAGTCTTCTTATGTCTAGAAAACGGTTTACAAAAAACATGGCATTTTTGCCAATTGATACAGGAAGTTCAACACACAAAAGGGTAACCGAAGCCATTCTTCGGGGAAATATGAAAAGGTCTAGTATTATTGAATTTATCAATATAGAAGATCCAGAAAAAGTGAAGCGAGAGGCAGAAAGAGTAATCTACAAGATGATTGATCTATTATACAACTTATTTTTATAGATTGAGGAGGAAAAGATTAGATTTCGGCGCCGTTTGGAATCAAAACGCCGTGCTAGAAATGCCAGATATAATGAGAGCTCCATTTTAACAATTGAGGGTTTGGAAGCAGAAGAAACGAATGATCGATTTTCTGGCACATATAGAGACGATAACTATGACAATGAAGATGACGAAGATGATGATGAATTTATTGTAGACGACGAGAGCGACGAAGCAGAGCGGACAGAAAGATTGCGCAGAGTTAAAGAAGGAGCGACCCTTTATAAAAAACAACAAGCGTCTTTGACTAGTGAAAATGATCAAAATCAGAAGAAAGATACAGACGCTTATTGGTCACTCAATGAAGACAAGAATGTAGACGATGCTGATTACATGAAAGAAGTCGATCTGGATGACAATATTATAAGAAAAGCCGGCAAGCGACGGAGAATCGTAGACGAGCTCAGTGGAGACGAGCAGACGTCCCAATAAAGAAGAATGAATATAATGTATTTTTGAAGAATACTATCTACAATGCTTATGGACATGATTTTTACATAATTAAAGAAATATTTTAAGAAATCAAGAGGTTCAAAATATTCGGTCTGATCTCTTGTCACCTCAAAAAGTTTTGAGGCTGATCAAGACATTCCGTATTATTCTCGGCGTCGGGAACGACAGACAATGCAACAATCGCAATTTGACTGTAACTTGGTCCATAAAGACAGACACCGTCAGGCTATTCTGTACTACAAATACAGAAAACTCCCATGCTCTACAACCATTACCTCTTCATATACGGGCTTAAGGATTGACTTACGATGATAATTAAATAATAATGTGTGCGTCACCTTTTTATATAATTTTTCTATGAATTTAAACTCCGACACTCGATTATGCTCAAGTGTATACCTATATATATGTACAAATATATACACAAACACACGTGCAGACATGCGCATAGACATACAAACATATGCATACAAATACATGTATATATCAGTCGGTCTATATATATGTATATATGGATAGATGGATCGGTCGGGACTATATATACTCTGAGGGAGCGAGGTATTGACTCTCTGGTTTATACACGAGTTCCGGCAGAAATCAAGCTTACAAATAGGTTTTAATCTATTGACGCTCGAGCCGCCATATTTCATATATATTTGTGACATTTATACATCAAGATTTATAAGCTAATTTACATCGTTATATATAAATGCTTATCAAGGAATTTATCAGACGTCAAAACAATCAAAGCCAATTACTATAAATACCGGACCAGGCTCCTTGATTTTGAAGAAAATACCTTAATAATAACAGAATTACTAAAATATGTGCTAATCTGCTTTATTCAGGTCTTTTTTTGCTTTTATATGCATTCTTGACTTACTGGCTTAGTGCATATAGTCCGGTAAAGTATTCCTAGGAAGAGTATTTTCACGCATATATAAATGCTTTGAGCTGAAAAGGGTCCTTGGGTTGCAGACTCATCCTTTTTTAGAGAGAATTGGCGATTTTTTGCCTTTATTGCTCTTTTTCAAGTTAACATATATTCCGACCAATCCATCGATCTATAATTAAAGGACTGTGTATTCCATATAAAGCCTGGAAAAGGCCTTTAGTGTGGAGTAAAGGAATTTAGGGTTATCGGGGTTGAATATGCCACATTTTCTTAATATCATATGTCATCCAGATCTTATCGAGACAATTGCAGAATATATGAGTTTTATTGACCTGATTTCTTTATCTTGTGTTTGTAAAATAGCGCGATATGTTATTTATGATAATGATCGATGTTGGCGAATGATCAATCTTAGTTATACTAAAGGCAGTATTCTTGAACGATATCAAAATGCTAAAGAAACGCATCTGGTCACTTTTAAAACAATACAATCGCTTTTTCGGCGTAGTAATATTCCGTTAAAATGTTTAACAGCGATTATATTGGATTTTTCAGCAATTCAATATCCAGCAGTTCGATTTATTATTTTACAAGCAGGTTTAAGTCGTTTAAAAAAGATTAGCCTTCGACATTGTCGATTTATATCTCTTAAAGATCTCAATAGCATTCTTATGGCGCTTCAACGAGTCTGGTTGGGTGAATTAAGTTATTATAAACAATCCTCTTCATTAGCAATTACACCATATGTTCTTAAAGAGCTAAGAGTTCGTTATATGAAAGGACTTCCGAAATATGCAAAAGATCTTTATTATAATTATAGTCAATGCAATCTTTTGCATATATTTAGAGAAATTGCAAAACTCTTGCGATTAGAGACGGATGTGGAAACGTGTTCGATGAATTATCCGAATGATTTGTTACATAATAGGGAAATATGTATAGATTACTGGAACGATCATGAAAGAATAGATCATAATATATATTGCTCTTCGGCAAATTTTTTTTTTGATTTAAATAAAGCATATAGAAAATGTGATATTCATCCGGAAATTGCGAATTATAAATTCTGTGGGATGTGTCTTCAAAGTTCTCAGTGTGCTAAATGTGGAGAAAGCGTATGTCCTCTTTGTCAAGGTGTAGATCAATGCAAACTATTTTATTTGAATATTCAAGGACAAGACTCTAATAAACATGCGCCACTGAAAGTTGGATTTTGTCAACAATGTGGTATATTATGTGAGAACTGCAGAAATAATGACATTTTCAATTGTTTAATTTGTTTGATACCTTATTGCACAATTCACATGTCATCTAGAGTTAAATATTACTGCGAAATTGGCGGTGAAGGAGTTTGTAATAAATGTGTTTTTAAAAAACCTTGGCTTGGACAATGTTTTGGCGGATGTGGACGTATTATGTGTAAAAAAGAAGTAGCAGGGAAATGTTTTAAATGTCATGAAAATATTTGTTGGCAGTGTATAAAATTATCAATGCCTCTCAAATCATCGTTCATGAAAACATCTGTTACGAATAATTTTTCAACATTTTCAGATCTTCATAATATTTCACAAGATAATAACGCAATTATTTTCAGAAAAAGCATATTAAAAACAATTTGTATTTCATGCAAAGTATTGGTTCAAATGAAGAAACGCAAATTAGAATTTCGAAAGTTTTCCATGATTTATGGACTAAATGCTAAACGATTTACGAAGCATATGGGTAGAAGGCAAATAGCGTTAAAATTATATCAATATTCAATAAAACAAATAAAATTTTGGACTAAAAAATCGTTAACATTTCATCGTAATAATGAACGTCATTTAAACAAAATTAAGGTTTCTCCGATAGGCTATAATATGAATTTTACACAAATTTCAACGATACCTTCTGATTATCTTAAATTTACTAATGTGATAAAAGTTGCAATTGACGAGGAATTGGCAAATGGCATAAGTAAAAAAGAGTTGGCTAATTTAATCGTTACAATAACCAATAATATATTAAGCAGTTGAAAAAATCTTGCATAATATTTATAATTATATAATTTAAATTTATTAAATATATAGAGTGCATATTTATAATAAAAAGGACATGTCTATCATTCACTCATATATTAAAAGATTTTCTTAATAAGATAGCACTTGCCAAAAACCCACGATCCAACCAGGAGTCGAACCTGGAGTCTCATGATCCGTAGTCATGCGCCTTAACCATTGGGCCATTGGACCTAGTGTGGGATAGGGGTAACAAGTAATTGATAAATACTGTTTTGAAAGCAAGTATTTACAGATATACCGTGTATGTAATACTTGTATTCTATTTTATTTTTAGGGTTAGGTTTTAATTTTATCGATATTTCATACTTAGTCTGTATATTCAGACATGGATGGTTCTTAACTTTCAGGGCTAGGACTAGGGATTGTCAATTTAAATTTTAGGGTGTGTTAGGGATAATTCAAACGAGGGTTGTCAGGGTTTGAAGGGTTAGGGTAGGACGCAGGGTAGGGCCGGCAGCAGGTCTTTTTAATCGTAAAAGGGTATAAAAAATATTTAAAAAAAATGAGGTAAGTCTTTGAAAAAAATATTAAAGCAGTGAATAGGGGGATCAGATTTGAGTGTGGAATTGAATAGGGTCTAAGGTTTTGAGATTTAAGTTGGGGTTATTAAGAAATATTAATTTTTGTACAAAAATATATTCATTCAAATAATGGCTTTATATTTCATATTTTCAGCTGCTTTTTATCTTTTTTTTTAAATATTTTTTCTTCATATTTTTAACTTTTTATCCAGCAAAGTTAGTGTGTTAACTGTTCAAGAGAATGTTCGAAATTTATTGTCTGCTTCACAAGAAAATAAGCGAGGGTAGATTTCATATTTTTATCTTTTTTCTATTATTTAAAGGGTTTAAGTTTTGTTGAGACGGTTGAGCTTCAAATAGGCTTAAAAAATTATGATCCACAGCGAGATAAGCGTTTTTCAGGAACCGTCAAGCTTCCTAATATTCCACGTCGTTTAAATATTTGTCTTTTAGGGGATGCGCATGATTTAGATCGGGCCAAAGAATTAGGGGTGGATGCACTTTCTATTGATGACCTTAGGAAACTCAATAAACAAAAAAAACTGGTTAAAAAACTCGCCAAAAAATATGACGCTTTCTTATCTAGTGATTCCTTAATCAAGCAGATTCCTCGTCTTCTTGGTCCAGGCTTATCCAAAGGTAAATGCAGTGTATGTTGCTAAAATAAATTTCTAATCCTTGTTTATAGCGGGAAAATTCCCCACACCTTTATCTCACACAGATGATCTCAGTACTAAATTGACAGAAGTTCAAACAACCATTAAATTTCAACTCAAGAGTTTGTTATTTTGTAATTAGATAATTAAAATTTAATAAATATAGAGGTCTTATGTCTTGGTGTTGCAGTTGGGAATGTCCAATTAACAGAAGAACAATTGGTTGCAAATATTATGCTTTCTATCAGTTTCCTTGTATCTCTTCTTAAAAAAGCTTGGCAGGTAAATGGATTTATATATTTATATTATATATGTTGAAAAAAATAGAATGTAGGTTCACTTGTAATTAAATCGACAATGGGACGTCCCTATCGATTATATTAAGTAAAAAAGTTGTATAAATGGTGTTTTTATAAGATTATTTACTTTGTATATTGCACCTTTTTTGATATAACTAATTATTTATATCTCAAAAAGCTCGATATAGATAAACCACTTGTATAATTTGACCTATTTAAAGAGCATTGAAAAAATAAATTAGTTCTGTATTAAAAGAATAAATATTAAAAACGAATATTAATGACATATTGGAAGAGTGGTATCAAAAGAATCGCGTTCAAAAATGATGCCGTATTTCTTAATATGTTAAAAAGATATGATTAAGTTAATAAATTTTCTTCTTTTCATCTACGGAAAACCCTCCAGGGCCCATATTGACAAGTAAAATCAATCCTCCTGTAATGGAAAGCATTTGAAAAAAATCTGGAATAAATTAATTTTGTTTATTTTTTTCAAATAAATATATATTTTTACCATATTTTAATAAATCCTTTTCCATTTCTGTAATTCTTGTATCCCACCAATTATTAATTAAAATATTAAAGATATTCAAAATACAAACAAGAAAAAAAGCACTCCACTTTGCCTTAAATCCAATAATTACCATAAAGCATGCTATTAAAGAAAAAATTAACATGAATACATGGACGGTTGTCCATGTCTCTTTAAAAATGAATTCAGTAAAAAGAAAAATTAAAAGAACCCTTCCGACTGCAAGAAAGTATTTTTTACGATCTGTTTCTGATAATTGAGGTAACCCAGCAAACAGATGTTGTTTTTTAGACCACGAATCTGACAAAACCATTAACAAGCCGCCCGTGATAGAAATGTTTCTTTAAGATATTAATATAATGAAGATTTCATCTGTTAATTTTTACCGGAAAAAAAGTGTTTTATCAAAAATCAAGCCATATCCAAATGCTTGTGCAATGACAACCCCAAATAAAATACAAACTGCTATTTCAGACTTTTTTCGAGCAACAATCATAAAAGACGCTGCTAACATGGCCTTCATAGCTTAACCTTGACCCGCTAATACAAGAATATCTTACGATAACATTAATAATAAGAAATGCATGACTTAAGCCGGGATAAAAATGACGATGGACTTCCAAATAATATAGCTGATCTCTCATCTGTGTTAAAATACGCGCAGAGTCTTCCATGAATGTCCCAATAATTAAAAACCGACCCAACACTGGTACATAACTTTAAAGAAAAAAAGCTAAGAAATAAAATTTTATAAAAGATGATTTAAAATTACTGTTTAACGGGTCCAAGCAAGGTTTCTACGCACTCTTCAAAATACTTGATATAAGTTTGAAAAACCTGAAATCCTGAAGATAAAGAAGAAGAAGATGATGATGAAGTATTATAAGAAATAGGAATAGAAGAAGGAAATCGCTCAGCCGACATAGCAGTTTTTCTCGAGATATGAAATATGATGATTTTTTGCGCTTTTTAAAAAGTTTTAACCTACGATCTTCGTCTCTGCGCACACTTTTCTAGTTATGCCTAATTTTTGTTAAGCTCCTTTAATATTTAGGTTAATAACCAAATATCAGGAGCAAATGATTCTTTAATCTTATTTAGTTATTTGTATTTATTATAGCTTATTTCTTTATATTCATGTATTACGACTTGTCTTCAGGGGTTAATTTTATAGGAAAAAAATGGAATTTCGGGGGAGGAAGCTGGAGGGAGGGGGGGGTATTTATAACTTTTCAGAGTTGACTGTTATTAATATTTTATACCTATAATATAGGGTTTATAGTGAATATACGTCCGACGATCAGGTAATATATATATAGTTTAAGATAATATAATAATATAATATAATATAGGATAAGATAGTAGCATCTTGGATCATTGAATCAAATGATATCACCTCATATATTTTTATGGTCGGTTGCTGAAAATGTTTTTTCAGAGGCAAAAAGGGTGGGGTCCTGTTCAAAAGAGGTTTTTCCCTATGAAGAGTACTATAAATTGATTGCTACGGGTCTTGGATGCCTGGAGACACTGCTTTGTGTATATTTTGTGTATAAATATAGATATTTATAGTTATGGGTTATAGTATGATAAGCTGGAGGCAAATGTTGAAATAAGGACAAGATTTCGTATGGCAGAGGTTATTTTCTATGAGACAGAGGATATAGAAAGGGCAGAACGCATTCTTAGTAAGGGCGTAGGTTTTTATGTATTTAGAACTACTTTATATCAGTATGTCTAGGTCATTCTAGCACAGAGAGTAAGATGCACAAAAAATATTGAAAATTGTAAAAATATATAGAAAAACGAAGACATAGAGACAAAATTTGCAATGCAGCATCTGCAGATTTGTATTGTTGCACAAAAATCATTAAAAACGGCACAAATTTTGCTTAAATCGTGTATTGAAGAGGCTGAAGAGTATTTGAAAAACATTTCATTACTGTTTTTAAGTGATTTAGACGTCGATTGGTCCATTGGGTTTATATTTTTTTATTTTTACAATATGATGTTTTATCTTGCTCAGTAAATCAAGATTCAGAAAGAATGGGTCGTTTATCTACGTTAATCAAGATCAATTCTATTGCTGAGAATAGGAATGATCATCTAATTTGCATCATTGCACGACTTCTTGAAACTTGTCTCAGAATTGAGTCAGAACAATATCAGATGGCAAAAAAATGTTTAAACTATGTATCAGAGATACAAACAAAAGTTAGTGATATATCTTTTTTGAATAGGGTTAAAATGATGTTTAATATTTTTTTAAATTTAATTCAAGGATATGGAAAAGAAGCTATTCATGAATTGAGGGATTTACACCATGAACTTGATGCATTTGCGGAGGAAACAAACTGTCTATATCAGGATACTTTTAATGTTGTGCTGACATGGATTTTGGAAAAATGGCTAATCTAGTTTAGTTACCGCTAAGTCAAAATGGACTTGATATGAAGATTTATTGGTTCAATGCCCAGCAGCTCTTTATATATGGCCATATTTTGTCTGGGATGTGTTATTTGCCAGATTATAGTTCTTCTAAGGCAGAAATCTTCTTTAATGAAGGATTGGAAATGCTAACATGTAAATTTTATATATGATACTATCTATTATTAACATAATTTTTGAGATGATTTTGCTTATGATCAGTTTTTAACAAATGGTTTACGAACAAATAAGAATTTGAATTGGTTTGACATGATACACAAAATGTGTTTAATTTATTATTGTTTTGCATTAATGTTAAGATCTAAATTTAATAAAGCCTTTGAGGTTAGCATGGCTTTTTTCTTTTTTTTTGTTCTTATTGGTTTAGTATATTCAAATTCTTGAAAAGCACTCTTCATCATTTACTGCTACTACAAGAGCATTGTTTATGCTTTTAAAGGGAACTTATGCACAATTTACCGGTCAATTGGATACGGCATTGAAAGCATATGAATCAATACCTGTTTTTTTACAAGCAATTAATTTGCTAGGAAGTCTTAACTCTATTCTTATTTTTCAAGGAAATCAATTGCAAGATAAAAAACGAGTTTATGAATTGCTTAATAATATTGAACCATTGTGTAAATCATCAAGTTTTACACAATTAAAGTTTGCATGGAATTTAATTACTGGATCTGCAGGAAAAGATGTTCTTTATTCCAAGTAATATTCGATT